GCCGGCGAAATTGGGTCGACAATGCTAAAAGGAGCCGAACCCACAGACGCGCCCGGTAAGCAGATTTACCTTTCCCCTGAAAATGGTAGTTTACGGCCAAAGCCTCAGAGATCCGCTGAAATGACCAAAATTTTGGTCCGAAGAGTTAGGATAGGTTAATTTCCAGCTGGGATGAATTATTCGCAACCCTGCGTCGGCAGCAAGAGGCTCGAGTTCACTGCAGGGTCTAAGAGGCGCTTCGGAGGGTGGTTACCGCGCTTCAACTGGTCGTTCTTTCGGCCAGATTCAACTGGCCGACTTTCCGGCTACGGATACGACCAAACTGAAATTATTTTTCTAAAGCACCGCAATTTGGATGATGTCCGTAGTGAAACGACACTGATTTTGTCAAGATACCAATTTTGACACGTGCGCCCTTTAGGGCGCTTGAGAGGTCGGTAAATAAATTTTTTTTGAAAAAACGTTCTTATTTTATTAACTTTCCTCAAATTTCAAAAATAAGTGACACCCTACCTATCTCCTCTTGTTTTCTACGCCGACAAAGGAGAGACCCGGGAGAAAAGGACTGAAATGAAGCCCGAAAGTAATGTCAAACTTGAAGAAGACCCTTGAAAAGTTGTGACTAGTCGGAGGACTGCAATCCCTGGACTGCCACCCACTTAGGGACGAAATCATCCATAAAACCCACACTGCCCCCATAAATTTCACTCTTGATTCTTAACAAATTCAATGTTTGGTAGTCTTATTCCGTTGCTCTGAAAATCAATGAAGGCTTTCGCCGGATAAGGCTCTCTCGTAAATGAACTGAGGATCGTTCGCCCCATTTTTACATAAAAAATCTCATTTCTTTTCCCTATTTTTTACGCCGACAAAGGTGAGACCTGAGAGAAAAGGACTAAAGTAACGTCCAACTAGAAGATGACCCATGATAAGTCGGAGTCGACTAGTCGAAGAACCACAATCCCTGGACTGCCGTCCACTCTAAGGAGATGGACCAGTCCTCGTAGATTCTCTGAGCAATGTAATAAGACTACAAAACCTTGAATTTGTAAAGAATCACGAGGGTAATTCAGAGGGGCAGCGACGGTTTTATAGATAACTTTGTCTCTAAAGTGGGTGGCAGTCCCAGGATTGTGATCCTCCGACAGGTCAAAACTTTTCAAGGGTCCTCGTCAAGTTGGACATTACTTGCAGGCAGCATAAATTAAGTCGATTGCTACCGGGTCTCTCCTATGTCAACGTGGAAAATAAGGGGCCCGTGGCAAAGGACAACATTTTCAATGAAAGAATCGGCACGGACGTTCATCAGTTCATTTGCAAAAATGCCGTATCCTGTGGAAGTCCTCGTCGATTCTCGAACAACGGAAAAAGACTACAACACCTTGACCCTCAAAGGTGCAATTTAGGGGGGCAGCGGGGGTTTTATTGATACTTTTGGCCCTAAAGTGAGCGGTCGTCATGTATTTCTGGTATTCTAATAACTAGTCGTGTTTCTTAAGAGACCCTCGTCAAGTATGGCAGATTTTCGGGCACCATTTAAGGAGAATTTCCTGATTTCCCCTCGCTCTGAAACGAAAAAAAGGGGATTAGGGGGTTGAGAGTAATACAACCTCTCCGTCAATTTACAGGCCGCTTCCGCGATTACATTTTCAAGAAGGTGCATTCGGACTCGATGCTAATTCCGTAGCTCGGAGATCGGAGCTCTTTCGGACTCTTCGCATTTTAATGAAATCTATTGAATTAGACTCCTCCCCCTCCCCGGTGGGGACCGTGGTGGCTCCCACACGTGGGGGCAAATGAAGATTCAAGTGTCACATGTGGAGTTTCTAAGGACTTTATAAAAGGAGAAACGGTCTATCCATGAGCCGTCGAACCTACTCTAATGCCCTCGTCTCACAATCAAATGAACTCGTCAAAAGCAAGATGGCGGGTTCATCAACATTGACGGCCCGCTAACTTTTGATAGCTGACTTGCGCGAAAACCAGTCGCCATCTTGCATTTGATGACTATTTGATGAGTTCATTTGATCGTGAGACAAGGGCTCATGAAAGAAAGGTGCAGATCCCCCAGATAAACTTTGGGCGGATAACATTTGGCAGGGGGATCGGATTGACTCGCAGTTTCCGCCGATTTTTTTTGGCCCTTGTCATTTTAAATTCTCAAGTCGAAAACTGAAAACTGGAAAGTACCTCACAAAGTTTTTCCCTTGATATGAAGAAGAACGCCGAAAATATAATATTCCTATTCCAATTTTACCTTTTACCCCTCGAAAATAAAAGCGGCAAATCCGTAATGGCAACGAAGACCAAAACAAAATAAAAATAATAAATTTAAAATAAAACCCAGAAAATAAAAGAAAACCTAAGATATATGAGTGCGCCAATTTAATGACTAAATAATGGTGTTAGATATTTTCGATTGCATTCGATGGTTATTATGTAAAAAAGATCATGGCCGCAATTTCGAACGTTTAAGGTTTGGTGGTCCTTTAAAATTTTGAACATTTGAAAAAAGCTGCAAATTCAGACAGCCTAATCAGCTTCTGATCAAATAAAATCAGTTCATTGAAATATGTTTGGCGCTTAAAATTTCTTGCGCGCCCCTCCCCCTCTCTACGATCAGTCTCTATCAGTGGCGTGGCGTGAATGATCGACTATCGACATCTCTCCATTTGAAGCTATGGTAAAGAATCGATTATTAAGATGTTCGTTGCGAACACCCTGTCTATCGATCCTTTTCCATTGGTTTAAATGGCAGATCAATCGATACATCGCAAAGCACGCCACGCCACTGGTCTCCATCTTTTCTTAGCGACACTCGCCGAAACAGAATCATCCTCAACTCTCAAACACGATTTTGGATCGAGCAGCCGATTTATGCGATAAAATTTACGTTCATAGTTTCCGGGTATCTCTCGGTTTAATCAACAACGCAGGAGCACGCCAAACGCGTGCGGAGGAGATGTAGAATGCGTGAGGAAACGTATTTATCTATTCAAGAACTGGAGTGCAACTATTTCCCCGGTGCCGCCGTTGATAAGTGTGTACCGCGGGTTGCGGCAAACCGTTCTAGGTAGAACGTCTTAGCTATGTATGGCGGGTTGCGGCAAACCATTCGACGCAGGAACTTCGATCCCGCTTGAACAACCTCTTTGCTTTGACAGTTCTCACATCGGGTAAGGTTCCAGTTTTTATATGACCCATCAATTCTGTCATGGAAAACTGACAGTCTTCTGCGTTTTCCTCAAGATAAGTATACACATGATGCATTGCGTCACTTACGTCTCGCCCGCGCTTAACAGTTCCTGAGGGCTCTTGAGATTTTGGATAATGATACAGCTTATTCATGCAATTGTAGTGATACTGGTCATCATCTGCCACAAGGTCCTTTGTTTTTTCCAATCGGGCCACAACCTCATGGCCCCAATCATCTCCACGAGCAGTTGCGACACTCATTACTTGTTCACAAACCCCCATTTTTGTCACCAAATACACTTTCTGCCGCCAGCTCAATTTCGCGCATTTTTGAGCTTGCAGAAATTCCTCGGTAATTACTTCCCCACACAGAAAACAAGAATTTTTAAAGGCGAAAGTCGAGGTAACAGACCGCAGTATCGGTGATTCGCGACACCTATCTACTTTTATTCTTTAAATGGCAGCTGCAATGTTTTTATTGCTCGTGTGCGATTTTCTACATGGTTCGTGCACTGTTTTTTCACTCACTTCACCACTTAAAAACATATTTTTTCAAGCCATCTTGACTTTTTGAGCTAGCCTCGCGAAAAGTTTTGATGCCGCGTTGTTTTACAGTTGTCACTTCACCACTCAGAGGGGTTTGTTTACAAAGAAAACAATTCGTTTAAGCATCAAAAGCCATGACTGATAATTATCAGTTCACTTTCACAGTCAAAACACTGCAATCCAATTCTCTGTGATTAAGTTCGTAGAATTCACACCACACTGATCGCGAATCCAGTAAATTCACGGTTTTTTCAGAGTAGAATGACATAAGAATAATCGCCACGCGGCAAATGAACGACACATCATCATAAGATGTCGAGTCGCAACTGATAACAGAGGAGACAGGATCGCAGAAAATGGCACGCGGGGGCTGGGGGATCAAGGGGCTGAAAACCAAGGTCACACACGGGGACTGGAAGATAAGCAGCCGGAAAAAAGGTCTCCAAATGTTGACCACTTTTGTTGTCAAGTCATCAATGAGCCCCATGCATACAGCAGCTAAATAGAAAAATCCTCTATTTTCAGTCATTTTGCCATCGAAGCAGTAGCAGATATACAACGAAATAACCAAATGCTCGACGCTTGCGTTTGCTCAGCCGACTCACATTCTCCTCCTCATGTTTTGTCAGGGGGAGGTGGGGTCAATGGTGATATTCTGTCGTTTTAAAACTGTTAAAACTGCAAAATAGCGTTTCGTTGGATCATAATGCAGTGAAAATGATTGTATGCCGTTATTTGAGGGAGCTTGGGGGGAGGGATGGGGGCTGGGAGAAGGGATGCCAAAAGGGGTGAAATCTGTAATTTTACTAATTATAAACGAGATTTAATGCCTTAAAGCAAAATTAAACGTTGGGGAAACCATAAAACGGTACTACTAAGGTAGAACCGTGATGCGGCGTTACTTTAGTAGTGTTAATTAAGTAGGGTGTGCTTTTCAAAATTTTCTGGGTAAGGACAGGACCCAGAGAACCTCCTTCCAGGTGGAAGGGGGGCGAATTAACTTTGGGAGGAACCTGCCGCCCCCCCCCCCCCCCCCCCCCCCCCCNTTGGAGTCTTCATCTTGGTAATTTGGAGTCAGTCCGTCTCTGCTGGAACCCTCATGAACATTTCTTCAAATATAGTGACGGACTCAGCACTAGTTAAGAAATATTGAAGCTTTCTGCTGATCATGTATTAAGGATCTGCTTGATGTTTAAAAAGTGTAGCAAACTACAGTTGAAATAATGCTTTTCCTTATTTTTTGAGAGAGAAGAAAGTACCTCAGATCCAAAGAGGTCAATATCATCGTCATCATTTTCTTTCTTGCCTGGAGTTCTTTCACTGCTTTTCTTTTCAAGGAAGGATTCTGTAGTCAAGGAATTTTCTAGGTTCTTTACTCGAATCTCGATTCTTTGCAGAAGTGATGTTACTTTATCAAAATCTGAAAAATGGCAAAATGATCAGTCATTAAGGAAGGAATCAGAAGAAGCTACTTTAGAACTATCTTCATTTAGATGAATGTTAACGTTTGATGCAGAGACTAACAAGGGGAGTCTACGAAGTGACATCCTGGGATTGGGTTCATTTTGCTTGTACATGAAGAAGAGACAAATCTAAGGTTGACGTATTTTTTTTTAGCCGCCACCTCCCAACCGCTCTCGAGATATCGATTTTTAAAGTTACGATTTTTGCACGTTTCCGCGCGGAGTTCCGGCGAGTCAACTGAGCGCCGGCAAGCTGCACGAAGCGCGTTTCCTATCAGCGCTGCAGACCGGTCTACCTTATCAACAGGTCCGTGGCCGAGTGGTAGAGAATTCGCCTACCGTTCCATCGATCGCGGGTTCGAATCCCGTTTCTTGCCGTAGCTCTTAGGGTACGCCGCAATGCGTTTTTACAAGTTTTTTTTATTTTTATCACACACCAAGGGGGCCGCCCCCTGGCCGCTGCGCGGCCCAACCCCCGGGGCGAAGAGGCGCGCTTCGCGGCAAGCGAAATCATCGAAACCGACCGTTGACGGTTACCTGGTAAATAATTTTAATTGAATGATAAAATGATGTTTCAAATAAAAATTTCCCACCACACTATATTGTTAATGACTTCTTCCTTACTCAGAATTTGCAACCGTCAACGGTCGATTTCGATGATTTCGCTTGCCGCGAAGCGCGCCTTTTCGCCCCGGGGGTTGGGCCGCGCAGCGGCCAGGGGGCGGACCCCTTGGTGTGTGATAAAAATAAAAATAACTTGTAAAAACGCATTGCGGCGTACCCTAAGGGATACGGCAAGAAACGGGATTCGAACCCGCGATCGATGGAATGGTAGGCGAACTCTCTACCACTCGGCCACGGACCTGTTGATAAGGTAGACCGGTCTGCAGCGCTGATAGGAAACGCGCTTCGTGCAGCTTGCCGGCGCTCAGTTGACTCGCCGGAACTCCGCGTGGAAACGTGCAAAAATCGTAACTTTAAAAATCGATATCTCGAGAGCGGTTGGGAGGTGGCGGCTAAAAAAAAATACGTCAACCTTAGATTTGTCTCTTCTTCATGTACAAGCAAAATGAACCCAATCCCAGGATGTCACTTCGTAGACTCCCCTTGTAAGACTGACACAAAGTGCAGCAAAGAGCAATTGCGCACTGTTAAGATAAAAATTCAAAGAATGAGAGCGGATGCTATGCTATGAGATTGGTAACCAGTCCATTAAGGAGGCTAGTGGCGTGCAGGATGCATAGTGGACCAGGTTCAAAGGGAGAATGTGGTTGGAGTACCTAAACTGAACAATCATCAGGGTAAATATTTCTTGACCGATCGCTTCATGGTTCGTTTCAAAAAGTTTTGATTTTTTTGAGGACCGTTCACGATTTTTTTTATGTAAGTGTCAGGGAAGGTCTTCAAATTGAAAAATTTAAAACCAAGAGTGAAAATAAATGCATATAAATCTTTTTAGATCGAAAAAAATTCCCGGAGTTATGGTTCTGGACTCAAGAAGTAAAAGAGCTTCATGCAAAAACGGCTTTTTTTCGCCCCCCCACCCCTCTGGAATTTCTTCAGATTTTGTCTATTGATTACTTATACTTGACCGCATCTTTTCCAATATTTTCAGACCCCGAAAAAATTTT